GCCTTAAGTTGTTGCTCAAGCTGCCTATAGCCTTTCCCATAGCTTGGGCCGAACCTTGCTTATAACTGTTGGTTTCAGTTCCGATATATTTAACCGAATACCAATGTATCCTCGCTTCTAAATCTAAATATTTTTTTAGTTAGATAGCTATTAGAAACTTTATAAAATAATTTAACAATCATAGGATATATTATCCTAATGGAATCTAACTTTATTTTCCTATTTTATATGTATGCCTTAAAATTATCCTTTATATTGTAAAATACAAGTGAATTTAAAATTTTTGCGACAATCTTTTTGTTTTCTCGAAGCATCTTTTTCGAGAAGAGGGTATAACAAACCAAATATGTTAGAGTTAGTGGATGTAAGTTGTGATTTGTCTGAAAGTTTGCTCAAGTGGGCTAGGGTTAGGTTTAGACCGCGCTTTGCCATTACACAAAGGGGGTTATGAATGATGGCTCATCATGTGTTTGCCCCACTTTTAGATTTTGTTGGCCCAAAGCTTTGAGATTTCGACCAATCAATAATTCCTAGTATACTTGTTTTTTATTTAAAGATTACTTTTTGATAAGGACCAGAAGGTTTGTTATGGTTTCGAAGTTTGTGTTTGCCATCAAGTTTTACTAAAACGTCGTTTTAACTCATATACGTGTATAAAATAAAATAATAGTTGAAAATACATATTAAAATATTAATTATATACAAAATTCCCGTCTTAAATCACGTCTTACAAACGATGTAGCTTGTTAAGGTTCAGAAAAAGCTTGAGCTTTAACATTGCTGCTAAGTCACACCCTACATGATTTAAAACTTTGTTTTTTGAACACTTGTATTTACTATTTAATTTTATCATTAACCAAAAGACATTTGACTTAACAAAGTAACGAGTGATTTTTTCAAATGAGGGGTCATGAGTTCTAAGTTTTATTAGGAAATATATATAGTGTTTAGGTAGATTAGGAATATAATAGCTATTGGTTTAAAAAAAATTATCAATCTTGGTGCTATGAACGTTTCCATTAAAGTTAGCAAAACTAATGATTTGGAAAGATTCATGTCAAATAAAAAAGTTATCCTAACACGTTTTTTTTTAATAAGAAAAGGCCATGTTTCTAAAATAACCATAATAGCCAAAAAAAAAATTATAGTTTTCCCATAATAGCCAAAAATTAAAAAAAAATAATCCTAATAGCTATAATTTTCGCATATCATCATTTGCGAAAATCTAGATAGTCTGTGATTTTTTAAAAGATTTTTGTGGGCACCACCTACAAAAATCTAGAAGGCATACGATTTTTTTAAGTTAAAGTAAAAATAAAAAAGTTGCAGGTCAACACCTGTGAAAATCTAGGTGGCATGAGTTTTTTTAATTTGATTTTTTTTTTGAGAGTTTTGTAGGTTACCCTTGTGATTGTGAGAACTTAGAAGGTTTAATAATTGTTATGAAGTTTGTAAGCAAAAAATAATTTTTTTCTCATAATTTTCATTGAATAATATTCTTTTGAGCTAAAAATATGACTTTCCGACATCCGAATTAGGATTGAAATATGTCTATAGATAGACTTTGTTACAATGAACACAATGAAAAAAAAAATCAACTAAAACGAAGTCCGTATATTGGGTGGTTTTCATACTTTTCATAAGTAGTATGCTTTGGAGCTTACAGAATAGGACTTCCCAACATCCAAATTTAGAGTGTAATGTGTTCATGGAAAACTCTTGTTACAAAGAACCCAACATAAAAAACCTCAGTTCAAACGAAGTTCATATGAAAAAGTTATAGAAGTTTTAATTTGACAAAAAGTTAAGTTTTTTCTTTGTAGGTCACCACCTACAAAAATCTCAAGTTCACCAAGGAAAATCATGCATGTTTTGGTCATTTTTCAAAATTTTGGCAATTTTGTGGAACAACCTTAGAAATTTGCCTACTATGGCCATTTTCACTTCTATAAGCAAAAAATTTTGAAATGTGTTGGTGATGTTTGGTAAGCCTCTTAATGGAACCATTAAGAGACAACTTTTTAATGGTTCAACATTAAGAGTGTTTGGTTGAATTCTTTACCTCTAAATTGGTTAGTGCACCTATGATCCACCTCTAGAAATTTTCGTGCAAGATGTAATGACCTCCTCTGAATCAGAAACACTTTTTCGAAAAGCGCTAATATTTTAATACATTTTAAAAGGGTTTCAAACAAGATCTAAAGAACTGACTTGCAAACCTTTTCGTGGTGCATTTTAGTCTTAGGTTTTTGTTTAGTTTTACCATTGAATCCTGATAAGCCATTACTACATAAAATTATCTCTCACTTTAGAAATTGCTCAAACATCATATTGAGACGGGGGGATCCATAGACCGTCCAAGAACAAACCAAACATCATTCATTCTAATGTCGATTTCATCCTCACAAAATTGTTGCGTGAATGTTTCTCAATTCAAAATTATCGTATTGTTAGTCTTGAAATAGTCATTCCTGATAAAGTGTATGAATGTTTTATGCATACATATTTGTAAGTTTCTTTATTTTACATAAAGGGTAAAGTTGAAGATTGAGTTTTAAAGATTGAGGGGTTTGATTTGGAATTTGAAGAGTAAGGGGTTCGATGAATTTTTAATATGTTTTGTAATTTTGGACTTTGGTCAATCAACATTTTGGTTAATATGCTTCTTTTGTGGTTGAATTTATTAATTTATGAATTAAATTTAATAATTTGTGTTCTTTAAAATTGTTAAAATGTTAAAATGATAATTTTCTCATTTAACAACCTTACCAAACTTCATTGAATGATTTAGGTAACTAAATTATTCATGTATTTTAATAGTTCAACACTAGATATTTACTTTCTACAAAACAACCCTTAAAAACAATTTCTTATTTTTTATACTCTTATAATGGTTATTTTGAATGCTAAGAGTAGTTGCCCAACTAAACTAAAACCATTTAGTATGAATCTTACATGTAGACATGTAGTATGCCAAATAAGCTCTAAAAATGAATGAACAAATATGCAAAAATAAATAAATAAAATTCCTTACATATTCAAATATGGTTTTATCTTACAATACTTTATAAATACTAAATAGTAATGTTAGAGTGTAACTTGGAAATTAGTGACCCTATGAATAACTCGATTCGGAACAAAGTGAACAAACACGAATAATGATTTCGAAGGGTTAAGTGTTTGGAATAGGTTGTGAGTCGTTAGGTCTGACCCTATTATATCTAGGGTTTTTAGTTATTAGTATTCATAGCTATGTTTTCTAAATATATAATGTTTGTAATTGAGTAATAGAAGAACTCTTTAGTTCGTACCTTTGGAAGTATGTCACGTTGACCGAACCACGTTAATTCTTTGTCTTGTTTTTCACTCTTTTCTTTTGCTTTTATAACAAGTAGGAACGACATGATATGGTATCAAACATGCCCTTCTTTTCTTTTTGAACAATAATGGTGTATAGTACCTCCTAGACGAATATAATTTACTGACTTATAGGAAAATGAAATTAGTATAAAGCCATACGTTATGATAAAACGATTTTCATGAAAAACATGTTGCATAAAATACTATATGTGTTAGCTATAGACAACCACCAAAAAACAAATGTCTTACTGCTTTATTTGGTTCCTTGATGCTTGTTTGACTATCAAAGATTCAAAGCTTATTTTAGGATCACACAATTAAGGTACGTACTTCGCAATGTACTACTACTTTTCCCTAAATACATATAGGTTCATAGTCGTATATATAATTCCATATATTGTTTGAATCTTTACATCGCACATGCTTCAAAGATTTAATTAATAGAAAAAATTTAGAGCCTTAGACCAAAAGGTTTGAAAGATTTAGTTAAAAATATGGCTCCAACCAAATGCAATTTCATTAGCATAGAGAGTGAAGAGTCACTCTTACAACTATACAATCCTAAAAAATATGTAATTATAATATGAGTTTATTAAGTCTGAGTCTAAATTAAGCAAAACCATGCCTTTATGCACGTGTTCAAAGTTTATAACCAAATCAAGCAAGACATCCATCTTATATGCAAAAATCAACCTAAAATCTGAGCAACAACCTAACTAAAATAAAACTGACATAAATAATATGATGATAATACTGTATGTGATAATCTTAGATGGATTCATATATTTGTAAATGAGTCTAGTTAACTTACTTTAGATTAACAATTGGCCAATCTGGTAAATTCAAATATGTTCGAAATTCATTTGTACTTTAACCATCAAAATCATTTTATATTGAGAATTGGTTTTTATTTTCATATTTTTGGTTAAAAATATGAACATAAAACAGATTGGGAGGTCTTCCCAACCTATTTTGTACAACATAAAAATCTACACGTTTTGACGTATTTCACCAACATACTTGTCCTGCCTCTTTTTTCCTTTTGCCACTTAAAACACTATATCATATACAATGCTAAACCTAGATGGAATATTTCATCCCATATAAAAGACCTTTTAAAAAATAAAAACAATTGACAAATTTCTAAATTGCATATAATAATATGTGGTAATATTTCTAAATTGAATATTTCATCCCATATAAAAGACCTTTTAAAAAATAAAAACAATTGACAAATTTCTAAATTGCATATAATAATATGTGGTAATATAAAGTCAAAACACAAACGGTATCATCAAACGTCAGTCAAGTTATGCTTCTGGGTTTAGAGAGAAAAATATAAGTCTTAAAAACATATATAGGAAGAAAATATATAAGTTATACAAAACAACTTTTAGGTAGTAAAATCACAAAGTCAAAATGTAAAATAAAGTTATGGCTAAATCGGATATTTATTTATTGCCAAAGAATAAAAACTAAGAATATACAAAAAGTTGCGATAATTTACTGCTTAATCAATTATTATTATTTTTCCATATACTGTCTTAGTGGGAAATACACACAATGGTTCAGGAATGATGAACAGAAAGAGCATCTTGAATCTTGATGAAATAAAAACCATTCGTGTACGTATTTTCACACTAAAAGTGAGGATCTTGGAAGAAACTATCAACATCCCAAGCCCACGATTTCACATCAACGTCCAATTCCGACAAGATTTCGCTTGATTCCATTCCGATTTTCTCTGGAAAATTAACTTCTTCGAGAATTATCGGAGAAGGTATCCGAAAATCGAAGATATCATCGTGGAAATTTGAATCGTAATTCAAATATTCATGGGAAGACGGATTGCTGGCAAGTGCTTCGTCGGTTTGTTTCGGTTCTAACTGATTTTCAGAAGCATCTTCCGTTTTGTCAAAACGTAAAACAGAGGTCGGAGAGGAAAGATCAGGCGACTCATTGCCGGAGTATTGTTCAGGGATCGAGACCGGAGTAATTTCCGGTGTTTCCGGTGGCGGTGGCTGTAGTAGATTCGTCAAAGCTTGCGACCCACGTAATTCAATTGCTCTACGATCATAAACTAACGCCGCCTCCTCCGCCGTATCGTAAGTACCCAACCAAACTCTCGCCCGCCTCACCGGATCACGAATCTCCGCTGACCACCTCCCCCACGGCCGCTGTCTTACTCCGCGAAACCTCCGCTCATTCCCCGAACCTCTCCCTGCTTCAACCCCAGCCGTGGCCGCTGGTTCCTTTTTCCGACGACTCTGTTTCTTCTTACAAACATCACCACCATTTTCCTTCAAGATTTTCCCACAGCAATTCTCTTCAAAGTTAATCACACTAACATACCTTTTGATATTCCGGCGACCCAATTGTGAGTTTTCTTCATCACTTGAAAAATCAGTCGCATCCCAATCCGTCATTGAAATCGTTACCACTTTTGGTGAATCCGTTACTGATTGTTGCTTGGTGGTGATGGTTCGCTTCACTCTGAATTTGGGAGAAGAACCCCGAAATTGTGGTTCCATTTTTCACATCAGTAGAGAGATGGAATGGAAGTGACGACTGTTTAAAGCGAATTATTAATTACCCGAAAATATATGAAACGCCGGAGCTAAAATGGAGGGACTGATGGTGGAGAGATTCAATAGGTTTGAATGAGTGTAAATAGCAAATGAAGAAAGAGAAATGAAAGGGAAGGAAGATCCTTTTATGTACTAGACTACTTTTTATGGATTCATACCATTTATTTTTTAAATATTGTTCATCCAATTTTTATATTTTATTTTTGGAGAGTACGTTTTTCTAAGAAAAGTACATCATTAGGCGTTGTATCAAGTCTGAGAAATAGTTTCTAACGTATTATGAATAAATGCCCTTCCATATAATTACTACAATTAATTTAATAGTCTAATTTTGGGTAACAAATATATAATAAATATAGAAAATGCGATTGAATAATCCATCATGTATTAGACGAATTCCAAATTTACACATTATATTTTTTCAAAATGAATAAAGTTATATATATATATATATATATATATATATATATATATATATATATATATATATATATATATATATATATATATATATATATATATATATATATATATATATATATATGTGTGTGTGTGTGTGTTATTATTACATTTGAATATAAGAAAAAAATAGTATCGGTTAAATGAGCAAATGTTGTTCAAGAAAAAATGTTTTCTTTGCCATGTTTACTTTAAAAATATATAAGTTGTATTTATTGGTACATACTACATAAAATGTAACCCACTCTTTTATTTGTTAGCTGTCCTTTTGACCATTAATATTTACTTCAAACTAAGTAAAATCAATCTAAATTTAGAAATTATTAAGTTGTAATTATAATTTCCATGAGTTCATTTTTTTTTTTTTTTAATTTCAAAGTATTTCTTTTCAGTTTAAATGAATTCTTTATTAATTTCCTTGCTCACCAAGGAATTCAACCGGAGAATAATTTTATATATTTTTATTGATAATTTATTTATTTACTAGATTAATCAGAAACCTAAACCAAGTTTTTAAATAATTGGTAGTTGGAGATATGTACCTACTTTATAACTTTTTATAATTTATCTTAGACTAAAATTTTCTACAAAGATCAAAATTCTTCTTAAAAGTTAAATTATATATATATATATATATATATATATATATATATATATATATATATATATATATATATATATATATATATATATATATATATATATATATATAGTTCATTTGAAACCATGCTAATTTTATGAGACCGTAAGATCAAATCTAAAAATAATTTTAAAATGCAAAATAAAAGAAAAAGTCAAAAAATTCTTATTTTAATTAGTATTTTCAGAATTTTAATTACCTAAAAAATATAAAAAACAATAAAAAAAAATTACTGTTTTTTTTAAATTCATTAAATATTCTAATACAATATTACACTGTAAATATTCTAATGTGATTTTTAGAATGTTAGAATATTTTACTAGATTTGTCAGATATATAAAATATTCTAATATTCTACTAGAATATATAAAAAATATTTTTTTTTTTTGGAAAATATAAATTTCGAAAATAATATTTGAATTTTTTTTTCGAAAATTTTCAATTAGTTTGCATTTTAAAAATGTTTTTTTTAGCTACTAAATGAGTGGTTAGGATTGCGTCTTACAGATTCACAAAATTTAAAAATAATTTTAAAATGCAAATCTAAAAATAAATTTAAAATGCAAAATAAATGAAAAAATCCAAACATTCTTTTTTTAAATATTATTTTCGGAACTTCAATTAACTAAAAAAAATAAAAAAAATCTTGTTTTTATTTGAAAAATACGTGAAATATTCTAATAGAATATTACACTGACATATTCAAAAAAATAATTTTAAAATGCAAAATAAATGGAAAAATCTAAAAATTCTTTTTTTAAATATTATTTTCGGAATTTGAATTAACTAAAAAAAATAAGAAAAATGCAAATATTTGATGTTGTATAAAAATACAAGTTATTTATACCACAATAAAGTTATTTTGACATATATATATATATATATATATATATATATATATATATATATATATATATATATATATATAGGTTCAGGTTCATTTGAGACCATGCTAATTTTGTGAGACCGTGATACCAAATCTAAAAATAATTTTAAAATGCAAAATAAATGGAAAAATCCAAAAAATCTTTTTTTAAATATTATTTTCGGAATTTGAATTAACTAAAAAAAATAAAAAAAAATCCTGTTTTTTTTTTTTTTTGGAAAAATACGTGAAATAATCTAATAGAATATTGCACTGTATATTTTCTAAAAAATAATTTTAAAATGCAAAATAAATGGAAAAATCCAAAAATTCTTTTATTAAATATTATTTTCGGAACCTTAACTAACTAAAAAAAATAAAAAAATGTGTTTCACGATCTCACAAAATTAGGCCGTCTCACGTGAACCTATTTGATATATATATATATATATATATATATATATATATATATATAATATATATATATATATATATATATATATATTATATATATATATTAATATATATATATATATATATATATATATATACGTGAGATGCATTTTTTGTATTTTTTTTTAAAATTTTTTTAATTAATTTAAGTTCCGAAAATAATATTTAAAAAAAAGAATTTTTTGATTTTTCCATTTATTTTGCATTTTAAAATTATTTTTAGAATATGTACAGTGTAATATTCTATTTAGAATATTTCACGTATTTTTCAAAAAAATAGGATTTTTTTTATTAATTTAGTTAATTCAAGTTCCGAAAATAATATTAAAAAAGTAATTTTTAGATTTTTCCATTTATTTTGTATTTTAAAATTATTTTTTAGAATATGTCGGTGTAATATTCTATTTAGAATATTTCACGTATTTTTAAAAAAAAAAAAACAGAATTTTTTTTTTTTTTAGTTAATTCAAGTTCAGAAAATAATATTTAAAAAAAGATTTTTTGTATTTTTCCATTTATTTTACATTTTAAAATTATTTTTAGATTTGGTATCACGGTCTCACAAAATTAGCATGGTCTCAAATGAACCTGAACCTAATATATATATATTATATATTATATATATATATATATATATATATTATTATATATATATATATATATATATATATTATATATATATATATATATATATTATGTCAAAATAACTTTATTGTGGTATAAATAACTTGTATTTTTATACAACATCAAATATTTGAATTTAAGATAGAAAAATATTATATCTATTATAATTGTATATATAAATGAATGATAATACACGTTGTTTACACAATAACCCTTAAAAGTGATGTAACTTATTTTTTGACATATCATATTTGCTTTCGTATTTATATTTTGACATTTCTAATAATTAATTTACATAACACTTTATATTTATAAAAAGTACTCCTATTTGATAGTAGTAAGCATTTTGATTATTTCTTTTTTATAATTGAGTCTGCTTGTTTCATGCATGTTTTGTTTTCAACGGATTAAATTTATATAAAAGATACTAGCTAACTGCTAAATAACAAGTTTACGATAACATATTTTTTTTTATTTATAAATAACGTTTTATTTTTTTTTTATTCCAACGTTGATTATAAATATAAATACATAATTTACCTAAAATATATAATATATATTGATTACTGATTTGTATAAAAGGTGTCTGTTATTAAACGCTTTAGATTTGCTAATTTTGTTATGTCTAGCACATATCTTACTTTCTTGTTTTAATAGACAAATGGTGACGTTTACGAGGTGAAAACTTGGGGTGCAAGGCTCCAACCCTGCTAGTCAGCTACGCATGTCGATGTCACTGACTTCGGATTTCAACCATGTCTTCTAATCGAATATGGTGTTATTTCAATAATTATATTATATATTTTTTAGAAAAAAAGAATTGATTAACTTGTAAAATATTTTATTTTGAAGACTTTCAAGGAAAATGTCACTAACCTTGCTGGTCCTTGTGTTTTGCAAAATTATATGAAAGGCTTTCTGTCGTTAAGACTGTGTTTGGCGTGCCACAGCTAGCTGATAAACTAGCTTATTTTTCGGGTTTTTTATGTTGTCGTGTTTGG